ATTTTAATCTATTATTTTAACTCGAGTTGGAGTTTTAATTATTTCATAGTTTTCTACTAAGTCGTGTTTCCTACGTTGGCACGTTATAAGAAGAATTTAATGTACATCAGTACGCAACGGTTAACCATCATTAACAAAAAACGATTATGAGTGGAGTTCGATTATACGTGCTTTAAAAGACTGTAATATTCACAATTCTTGTCAACATTTCATGTAAAAAAAATAAGTACAACTAATAATAAATCTTCTGTTAAATCGTCAAATACTTGTGTTTGGTCAAATAATTTTATTCACAGAGTACCTAACGAACAAAAATACATAAAATATCAAAATTAAAATGTTTATAAATAGCTCAAAAAGAGGTCAGATGGTATGAACATTTTACCAGATCTAGGAAAGGAAAATATAAGTTTTTTGTCTAAACTCAGGTCTCTACGAATATTTTTAACTTAATGACAACAAAATAACAAAATTGAAAATAATGAAAGCTTTTTATGGTTTTTCCAAATTATTATGAAAACTGCATGGAAAATCAAAAACCTACTAATTCAACAACTAAATTTAAAACTCAACAAGAAATGTCTATTGTAATTTTTCAATTGGAAAAAATTTGTTTGTAGAAAATATCGTTTGAAGAAGTTAAAACCATTGTTATCGGTAACGCCGCGGCGCGCCGTAAAAATAGTATTTTACAGATAATTTTATTTCTGGTTTTTTTCCAATTTTTTCGAAAAACTCATGGAAAATCAAAAAATGATCTCTGCAACGCACATACTAGACAAAATTATCTTTCAGGAAAGATGCTACACTGTATACTTCGAAGCAAGATTTCTGATAAGAAAGTAGTCAACAGACCCCCCCAAAAAAAAAAAAAAAAAAAAAAATACAAAAACACACATCATAATAAAACTAATAGATCCCTCGCTACGCTCCGAATCAAATATAATTTGCATTATGTATACAATTTTCATGTATAATGGGTAACACGGAAAGATACAAATTTAATTTAATATTCATGACGTTTGAAAACGTAGTGTTATATTGTTTATATTGCTATAATTTATTGATGTGTCTACCGGCCTTTTCGCCGATCCCGATAAGGATAGGCAACTAGTTGGTCACGCGCTGGAATAATCCCGAGTATGCAACGCAACAAGCTAGTCTCGACAGCAACGACAGGTCGAATGACACAACGAACGCGTTGGTAGTAGTGCTGACGAGTTAGAAATAAAGGTTACCGATTTGTAGCGGAATAAAACGAACAACGCGAACGGTTGGTTGTCTCGGTAAAAATAATACGATTTTAATTGATTTACAACAGCGGAACAATATTGACGACGAAGAACAAAAAAAAAAGGAAAATAAAATATTACGGAAGCGCAATATCGATACAATGTCATCGCGCGTACGGCGACNTTGTACGTCATCCGTATTCGTTGTATTCGTAGGCCGCGCGCACATTGGATACGAAATTGTTACGTACAAAAAAATAAGAATACCGGTCGTACGACTGAGAGTGCACACTGAATGTGTTTTTATTATACATACTCCAACATCACTATCTAACATTACAGTATAAACTAATATTAATAAATTAACTGATTTACAAACTGATTAACAACAACGGAACAATATCGACAACGTGAACAAAAAAAAAAACGAAAATAAAATATTACGGAAGCGCAATATCGATACAATGTCATCGCGTGTACGGCGACCGGACGTAGATAACAGATTATATTATAATGAGGCAACGGCGACGGCCTTAGCACAAAATTGATTACTTAACAACTATAACTTAATATTTAAAAAAACAATCACGACAATAATAATACACGGCGCCAGATTATGATTTGTGTGTTGCAATTTAATCAAAAGCATGTGTAAAATTATTTCTGTATGGAAAGGATGCATTAGGATAGTAACTAAATATTTTATTTAGTACAAATATAATTTTCGAAAATACCTAAAGAACTCGTAAGAGATTCTACCGACTTTCTCATAAAACGTAAACAAATCTGAGACACGTTTATTATGATGATGGTCTTTCAACGGATGGCTTTNGAAGTGATTATGGATATTGTTAACGTTAAATCACGGAAAATGCATCGAGATAAATATATATATATGTGATTTCAATTGATTTATAATCTCGAAATAGTTGAGGTATCGTTCAAAAATAAAGTATACATACTAAATTGTAGGTGATTAAATAAACAAAACTTAACCATTCTGTTTTACCATTAGTTAAAACTATTATATAGTATCAATCTCGATAATATAATTACACACATTTTTGAATCCCATATGAAATTATAATTTCAAAATTCAATTATAACAATGAGTATTGTGTATAAATTTTCACTATAGCGTTCAGATAATAATTTTAATATATTATTAAATAATTTGATGTAGGACCTATTTATTATTATGTAATAAATAAACATATTAAATTTTGAAATTTAAATGTAAACAATGCATTATTTTTATATATTATAATATTAAATTAGTTTTCTTATGGTATGGTAGGGAGGTTCGATAAAGGGGTTACGTATACGTATTTTAAAATGTTCGTATAGGTTAAAAATTAAAACACGGATAAAAGGCATCATATTATAACGACGTCATACAACTTTTTTCTAGGGCGGATTTTTTTGCTGGGGTCGGCATCGAANGTTTATTATGATGATGGTCTTTCAACGGATGGCTTTTTAGGAATTTTTAAAAAAATGTGTTATTCATGTTGGAATCGAAGTGATTATGGATTTATTGTTAACGTTAAGACACGGAAAATGCATCGACATAAATATATATATATATATGTAATTTCCATTGATTAATAATCTCAAAATAGTTGAGGTATCGTTCAAAAATAAAGTATACATACTAAATTGTAGGTGATTAAATAAACAAAACTTAACCATTATGTTTTATCATAAGCTAAAACTATTATATTAAAACTATATTATATAGTATCAATCACAATAATATGATAATTACACAATTTTTGAATCCCATATGAAATTATAATTTCAAAATTCAACTATAACAATGAGTATTGTGTATAAATTTTCACTATAGCTTTCAGATAACAATTTTAATATATTATTTAATAATTTCATGTAGGTACCTATTTATTGTATTATTATGTATTAATAAACATATTAAATTTAGAAATTTAAATGTAAACAATGCATTATTTTTATATATTATAATATTAAATTAGTTTTCTTATGGTATGGTAGGGAGGTTCGATAAAGGGGTTACGTATACGTATTTTAAAATGTTCGTATAGGTTAAAAATTAAAACACGGATAAAAGGCATCATATTATAACGACGTCATACAACTTTTTTCTAGGGCGGATTTTTTTGCTGGGGTCGGCATCGAAACGAGAATTTTATTATGGACCAGGAGATCATGAGATTAGTGTGCGCTGCGGCGGCGACGGCTACCGCCGACGACTCGTCGCGGGAATATTGTTCGGCCGCCGACAACTGCGACTCTTCGCGGCAATATCGTTCGGGTGCAGACCGTTATCAATAGTCGCGGCGATAACGTCCGAGTTCTGTGCTCCTAGTAAATAGATGTATCTTTTGTACCTCGTACGAATACGTTGAGGATTGTCGTACACATCATATTCGTATTGGTACACGGACATGATTTGGTATTTTTAAGTTTCCCTAAATAATACAGTTTAGAACACTCTAAAAAATTAACAAAAAATATAAATCGATTAGGTTGATTTATAATATGTGGTAAAACAAAACGTTTAATAAATAATTTACAATAAGAATTTTTTTATTTTTCAAAATCAATTAACAAGCTGATCATATATTTAAAGTAAACTTAACTCTTTATATTTTTTAATATGAGTTATTTACACATATCACAATAATAACCCGAGTGTAAAGATAATAGGTAACCATTATAATATATTATAATTATCAACACGCTTTTAACTTATTATATTATAATCATAAGCGAAATCTCCTTTTTATCGTAAATTAAAGCTATTATAAAATAATTAATCTCGATTCATGTAGGAATCTAAGTGATTATAGATTTATTTTTAACGTTAAAACACGGAAAATGCATCGAGATAAATATAAATATATATGATTTTCATTCATTTATAATCTCGAAATAGTTGAGGTATCGTTCAAAATTAAAGTATAAATACTAAATTATAGGCGATTACATAAACGAAACTTGTTATATTTTAACCACTAGTGGAATCACGCGTTTTATCATAAGTCAAAGCAGTTATACTATAGTAATCAATCCCAATAATATGATAATTACACAATTTTTGAATCCCATATGAAATTATAATTTCAAAATTCAACTATAACAATGAGTACTATATGTATATATTTTCACTATCGCTTTCAGATAAAAATTTAAATATTTTATTTAACAATTTGATGTAGGTACCTATTTATTTTATAATTATGTAATAAACATTTTAAATTTAGAAATTTAAATGTAAACATTAAAATATTTTTATACAATATAATATGATATTAAATGAGTGTTCCTATAGTCAGTGGCGTATTAGGAATTTGTCATGGGGATGGTCCAGAAAATTCCCATTACACAGATTCGGGGGGGTGCTTCGCCTTTCAATTACTCTTTTATATAGAATTTAAATTTATTTTAATGAATTAACATAAATTCATTTTAATGTTAATTATTTATTTTTAATTATATAACATTATCAAATAACATTTATATTACAAAATCTAATTTTTTAGGACTTAATATTTTAGATGTATGTCGGATGAATAGACATAATAGCTAGTTCATTTAGCCTTGTCTGCATAATAATAAAATTAAAAATACAGTACAACTATGTTAAATTGTTAAATAGTAGATATTAAATATTTTCCAAAATAATTAAAATATTACTTCGTTCATTGCTGATCTTAGATATGTTTTCAACCTTTTCAAGGTTGAAAAAGACCTTTCCGGATTCACACCGGTTATATGCAAAATATTTTAATTAAAAAATGTATGAAATGTTAAAATGTGAAATTCTTTTTCTGCATCTTGTCTCATTTCTTTTAAAGTATTAACTAATAATTCAATAGTACTTAAATTGTTTTTTAAATCTGTCCGTTCTTTCTGTAGTTGTTTACACACAGGCATTCCAAAGGCAAAAAATATCTAAAATATTTAAATATATATTTATACTATATAATTATATATTTGTATAAATTTCCAATTAAAAATTTACCTTTGTATCATATAAAGAAACCAGAAACTCAGAATCCAATACACTTTTTAATAAAACATTAGCATCAATAGAAGATGGTACACCCCACGTAGAATAAATTGCTTCCAGTGTTTTTACTACAAATGGTAATAACTCAACAAAATCGTTTGATGACTCATATTTATGCAGGTTTTTCTACAAAATAGAATAGGTCAATTTTAACTACTCTGTAGTTGTTCCCCCAAGTGGCCTAGTAAGTTAACAGCCGAGGATAATATACTCTTATCGATTTCCAACTGATAAGACTTGATAAGACATGCATAACAATTTATGATTATTATTTATTTCCCGATTACGTAAAAAAATAACATTTCATGTGGTTACAAGTTACAACTTATATTTGCACATAATAAAATAATATATTCCAAATGTAAGACGTTTAGATACGTATTTATGGAGCAAAAGGGGGGGGGGGTCCGGACCCCATGGACCCCCCCCGTAAATACGCCACTGCCTATAGTATGTTAGAGAGGTAGGTTACGTATTTTAAAATGTTGTTCGTATAGGTTAAAAATTGAAACACGGATAAAAGGCATCATATTATAACGACGTCATACAACTTTTTTCTAGGGCGGATTTTTTTGCTGGGGTCGGCATCGAAACGAGAATTTTATTATGGACCAGGAGATCATGAGGTTTGTGTGCGCTGCGGCGGCGACGGCTACCGCCGACGACTCGTCGCGGGAATATTGTTCGGCCGCCGCCAACTGCTAAGACTCGTCGCGGCAATATCGTTCGGGTGCGGACCGTTACGAATAGTCGCGGCAATAACATTCGAGTCCTGCGCTCCTGGTACATGGAGGTCTTTTTTGTACCTCGTACGAATACGTTGAGGATTGTCGTACACATCATATTCGTATACGGTACACGAACATGATATGGTATTTTTAAGTTTCCCTAAATAATACAGTTTAGAACACTCTAAAAAATTAACGTAAAATATAAATCGATTAGGTTGATTTATAATATGTGGTAAAACAAAACGTTTAATAAATAATTTACAATAAGAATTATCTAGAAGTATTATTTTAAAGTATTTGNTCGTATACGGTACACGGACATGATTTGGTATTTTTAAGTTTCCCTAAATGATACAGTTTAGAATACTATAAAAAATTAACAAAAAATATAAATCGGTTAGGTTGATTTATTAAATGTGGTAAAACAAACATTTAATAAATAATTTATATTTAGAATTTTAAGTATTATATAGTAATTATAAGTAAGAATTATAATTATAAGAATCTATAAGTATTTTTTTAAAGTATTTGAGTATTAAAGTTAATACTAATAGTTTGTACTACAATACATTTTTTTTGGAAGTGTAAAGTGTACGTATAATTAGTAATTAGTAATTATATACTTTTATAATTGATTGTATCTATATGTTTAAATTTTTCTTTTAACTGACCATAAATGTTAAAAATGTAGCATTAAATATATCGTAAATTGATCAAATCAGGTTATTTAGGTACTTATTACAGTTGTTTTGTTATTATTACTAATAGTAATAAATATTATCTCAGTCACTGGTAAATAAAGCACACATTTACCTTTGTCGAAGTGAAGTCAATGCAACTCCATAAAATCTATAATGGTTTTCTTTGGTCGCCGGTTACAGAGCCAGATTTCATTTTTCTCTAATGACATTTTGGTTTTTTAAAGGCAAATAAAAACTAGCTGGTCAATAATCACACACACCACGAGAATAACTTGAATATACGGGTAATAGGTAACCATTACAATATAATATTAATTATCAATACACACTTTAAACGTCTCTGGCGTCTCTGTTTTATCGTAAATTAAAGCTATTTATAAATATAGTATAATCCATCTCGATAATATAATTACACAATTTTTGAATCTTATATGAAATTATAATTTTAAAATTCAACTATAATGAGTACTATGTACTAAATATTTTCACTGTCCCTTTAAGAGAAATATTTAAACATATTATTTAACAATTTAACATGTACCTATGTGATAGACATGATAATTATTGAAAAATGTACGTGTCAACAACACAATATTTTTAAATAAGAGCGTTACGTATGTATGCAACCGTATTTTAAAATGTTGTTCGTATAGGTTGAAAATTAAAACACGGATAAACGGCATCATATTTTAACGACGTCATACAACTTTTTCCTAGGGCGGATATTTCCGCTGGGGTCGGCATCGAAACGAGAATTGTATTAAGGTCCACACAGTACCAGGAGAACATGAGGTTTGGTGTGCGGTGCGACGGCGACTACCGTCGTCGGTGAATCGTCGCGGGAATAATGGTCAGCCGCCGACAGCTGCGACTCTTCGCGGCAATATCGTTCGGCGCGCCGACCGGTACGGCCGGTTGCGGCAATAACGTCCGAGTCCTGCGCTCCTGGTACATTGATGTACCTTTAGTAAAACGTTTGTACGTCATTACGTCGTATTCGTAGGCCGCGCGCACATTGTATACGGTTTTGTATCCTACAAAAACATAGGTATACTGAGTCTCTACGATTCTAGAGCGCACACTGAACGCGTATTTGTCCATGAAATAGTCAGTGTTTTGGTGATATACGAACATGAATTTTGGTATATTGTGTGTGGTATTTGAAATGAAACATTCAAAATTGTATTTAAAATTTTTTAAATAAAATCGTGATAGCCATTTTGTAAATTCAATTTTTAGATAAACGTTGGCGTCAAAAACTTTTACTAAGGTTAAGTCAATTAATTTTAACTAATTTTTAAGTTGTCACTGAACTGTTGATATGTTTGTATGTACAAACCAATATACAATTTGTCATTTTCAAATTGTGTTAATACTGGACAACATTAATACTATTACTTTGGATGAAGGTGTTTTACAATTCTCTACAATAATTTCCTAATCATAAATTATAATCACAATAACCAAGCGTAAATGATAATAATATAATATATAAATATTTAAAAATTATTTTGTAAATATTTTATATTTTTACTTACGGTTGACACTGTTCCATTGAATTGATTTTTTGATAATCATCGAGTAAATTTTTAGCTATAAGACACCAGTATTTATCTTCAGTTAAGAATTTACTTATTTTAATCGTGGATCCTTTAACAAAAAACCAGTGTTTACATCAATATTTGATGTTCAATCAATTAGAAAACTTAAGTTTGGTAAATAAAGTATAGACCTTAATATAATTTAAAACTAAAGTAGTTAACCTAAAACACAACTTAAAAAAAAAATTTTAATTGATTCTTACTGAACATAGCTGTATGCTTTTAGAAAGTAAAAGTGAAGTGAAGTATCAATTTTTTTAGAATATCATTAATACATCTATATTTAGGATTA